CAAAAAAATTCTAATTAATTCTGGTTTTGTTCGATTTCGCTGAAATTTTAACACGATAAAGCTGGATTGTTAAGGAATAGATTTATCTTCTATCGATGTGTGGTAGCTATTAACACTAAAGTGATATATCGCTTCGAAGTCCGGGTTTTGAAGAGATTTTTTTGCAACGTGTGGGTTCGGCGTGATTTTGTAATTGGAGGATTCTGTTGACCCCGAAGGAAAAAATATCCCGAAAAGGTCATTTCATCGACGATTCAAATGAATATAAATATGTATATGTTGCAAGCTAACTTTCTGGTGAAAAAATATAATTTTTGACGAGCGCTGGGTTTTTAATTTTTTTCCCACGAAACACAGGGTAAGAGAAGAGTTTTAAGGTGCAACTTCAAAATGGGGTAGTGTAAGCATTTCTCAATTATTTCTTCCCTTATGCAATTGAAATATTAGTTTTTACTTCTTAATGCCAATGTGTTGTTCCAGAAAATATCCATACCCCGTGGAAGGTTTTGTAGCTTGAACCCCCCCACCCCTCCAGAAATTCCTTTTTAGTGTCATACTTTCCTTAAAAAAATGGGCTTTTGAAACCCGCCTCCCCCTTGGAATTTCTATTAACCTTCCTTGGGATGGGTATGGATATTTTCTGGAAGTACACAATTCATTGGCATTCAGAAGTATTGTTGGTTTTCAAAATAGAAAGCCTGTGTAAAAGTTGGGCTTGTTTACTCTTGCAAGACTGTAATAAACTACCTTAATGCAATAAAAAATACTGAAGACAAAGTAGCTAAAGATCATACCTCTTTGGACTGTAGTCAAACACTATCAAGATTATTAAGGTTTGTTTGCCTTATAGGGAAGACCAGGCCAAGTTGGTGTCCAAGGTGTACAAGGACTGGAGGTTTGTATAATGGTTAACCTTTCATTCCTGGTTAAGTTCAACGTGCAAATTCTCCTTTTGGTCTTGTTACATTTGTTATTATTTAGTTATTAATGTTGCAGTTCCTAGGGAGTAATGCTTTAATTATCCCGACAAACACAAGTAATAAACACGCGTTCTATGGCGTAAAGGGGGGAACACCGCTCCGCAATCGGTGTGACAGACGAACTTTCATTGTGTGACCAAAATTGATGCCAAACTTATCTCCCCAGCGGTTAATTCTGCACTGGATCAGACAAGTCGGCGAGGCCAAAAGCTTGCGCGTCCTAGTAGCGTAACTCTAAACGGCACTACGAGCTGACCTCCGGTCAGCATCATGCTAGAGTGTAGACAGTTCTYAAGCCTTACTTATCTCCCCAGCACTACGAGCCGACTTCGCCGGCACGTGCTGGATCGGACAAGAAGAGGCATAAAAGAGCGTTAAATAGCGCCACTAAATTAGCGAAAACGAAGCTTGGGGAAGTTGCTGCAAGACTTAACTGATAGCGTGTCATGAGAGGTGAACCCCAGTTTATTATTTATATTAATGAACAACAACAATCAACCTCCAAAGGGAGGGAAGGGTGGGAGTTACAATTTCGAGGGCTAACTAAAAGTTACTGCAGTGATATAACGAGCGAATGATGCTAAAGTCCAAGCTAAGACTCTTTTATAGGTAAACTGATGTCTGGGTTTAAACCAATGTAAAATCGTGTCCCATGAAATGTACAGAGTCCATGCAGCCTTGAACAAAACAAGAATGGGGCTATTTAAAAGACTAGCCATACAAAATGCATGATATAGTTAAACCAGACGTTATTGCAACATGCATACGTGAAAGGCTATTGTGAATATTGTTTAAACTAGACAAGAAAGACATCTATAATGTTCTAACGCGTAACAGTTCTATTGCGTTACGTTTAACAACAGTAAGCTAGTGACTGTGCGTAAATAGCGTCACGCTCCATTAGCTGCGTGGTGGAAAAATTGGCATGAGGTATTTTTGGTCAAAAGTGAACAGTTTGTCAAAAACGCTCCAAATTTTGTATGTGGTTTTGTTTAGGTGTGATTTTAACCAACAACCATAAAGATGACAATTTGTGTGGCCGTAGGTTCACAGTGGAAAACAGTCATTCTAATGAATTTATCACAGTTGTAAATGTAAAATCTAAAGTAAAGTAACACAATAATTATTATTTTTTTAATTGAACGTGAAAGTTCTAATGGTTTGAGCTTAGACAATTTATTAACAGACACCAAAGTTGCGAAGATCACAACAAACAAGTTGAGATTTCATTGTTTTGTACAGGACATTTGATTGGCTGGATTTGAAAATGTTGGAATGTATTGTTTCAGTTCTGGCATTTGATTGGTTTTCATTGTCTGGCTGGCCCTGGTTTCAGTAAATGCACTGTAAACAATGTCCTGTATTTTTTTCGCTAAAGTCTGCTTCTTTTTTCAGATATTACGTATGCAAAAACTCATATTTGTTGTCACATCAATGCGTGACAACAAATTTGATGATTTCACTTGGAATACAGCAAAATGTTGATTTCACGCAATGTGTAAGCTCAAAAATGTTGATTTTGCGTTAAAAGCAGTTAAAATGTTGATTTTAGGTTGATGTGTGACTGCAAAGATGTTGATTTCACTTAGAAAACAGCAAAATGTTGATCTCATGCAAGTTGTGAGCTTAAAAATGTTGATTCCAACCTGAGCTTATTTGTACAGTTTTGGGTACTCGTGAAGCGGAAAACAAAGAATCAGTTTTAGCTCAGTGATGTTCAATCAGCAAGTAGTCAAAGATGAATGAATAGATTCATGAGATTCCGAAACTTGAAATAGAAGCTAGTACGTGTAAGTGTGCTTTGAAATGTGTCTTCACTAAATTGTAGATTTGTTTTTTTATAGGGTCCTCCAGGGAAAGAAGGCTTAAGAGGTCTTAAAGGCTACAAGGTACCAAATAAATGTTTTTTTTCCCCAGTGTTCATTGATCTGTGAGGTTTCATTTCCTTTTGTTAAGGGAAGCACTGTGCACCTGGATCTTAGTGGTAGAATCCTATCCTATCTGATTATGTCTGGGTTATGAACCAAGTGTGACTCATGTCAAGATGGCTGGATATTGGCCTTGTTCTTTTTTTGTATGGTTATGGACCAAGACAGAGTCCAGGTCGATAAACGCAGAAAAAAAAAGCATACCAATACCCAGCCATCCGGACCAAAAAGCTTGGTCAATAAAAGGATTTATTATATGGAGTTGATAAGGCTTTTTAAAGAAATTTTTCTAATAGGACACAATGCATAATCCCCAGCCAGCAAGAAAGGGCCATCTTGCCCGTTCAGGTAACCAATCATGGTGCAGGATTTGGTTCATCTTGCCTGTTCGCTCAGCTAGCCATACAAAAAGTAGAACATGAGTAGTCACTCTTTCGTGTTTTTGCATGTTGCGAGAGAAAACCATGAGAAAAAGTGGCTGCGCAAACTCCTGAGAGTGAGAAGCATCCGAAAGGAGGGACTACCGCCTAAGGCTGAGACTTTGAATTATACATTGCTCCCACAACACCAAAATATGATTGGCTTACGTTAGAAGTGTTGACAACACGTTGTCAACATTCGAGAAATGCTTGATGTCTTGCGGGAATGTTTATCTCGCTCTCTGAAAATAGAAAGCTTTAGAACTGGAGCAAATCAAAGCATTGGAATTGTGTCTCCCAGGCTGTGATGTTCTTGCGATTCTGCTGACAGGCTATGGAAAGAGTTAAATGTATTAGGTGTTTTGCTTGGCAAAGCTTTTCGCTGGAACTTGAATGTGAGTGTGTCAGTGATCTCGCTGCTCAATACCAGGTCATCAACATCGTTGAAAAACAATTCCGTAAATATGAATTGACTGAGCTTGGCCTTTCAGCCATCCTGGACATTCACTTGAAACTTTCCGCTGCTTTTGGCAAACATGTCACTGCAGTTGGATGATCTCCTATGTCAAATACATAAAGTAAATTCCTGTTTGAAACTCTGCATTTGAAAATTTTTCAATAACTTTTAAATTTATACCTACAGACATGGCAAAAAATCATTTCAAGATGCCTTCTTTGCCATTTTCTTTTCAAAACCTCTTTAGCAATTTTGCTTAATGAACGCTGTAATGAAGATATACTTCTCACAGCATGGTTTTGAATTGCTACTTAAAGAGAAGAGCAATTTTATTCAAGACATCTACCGGGGTCATTGACAACAGGCGATAATGAGAGGATGTCAAGATAAGGAGTTATATTGGATATGTGCAATGAGGTTGAAAATTTACACTGAAAAATCACCCGGCTGTGAAAGGTCAGAGTCTCTGGCTTAGGCAGTAGTCCCTCCTTTCGCCTGCGTTTCACCCCCAGGATTTCATGCGGCCATTTTTTCCTCGTGGTTTATTTGCGGTCTTGCTCGACGGACTAAGCAAAAGAGGGACTACTCGTAGTCTATATGAGAAGTTGTGTTCAGTGTCTTTGCTAGCCCACAACCAAAGGTGTACAAAAGTAGCCTTGTGTGCATGTCATTAATATTTTATGGAATGGATAAAATGCTTTCAATGTTTTTTTTCAGGGTGATGCTGGACAAGCTGGCCCCCCTGGATCTCAAGGAGATCAGGTGCATTATGCAGTAATAATAATTATGCCAAGGAAACTAATTATTCACATAAATGAATAAATGTTAATTTTTTTGCAGTCTTGCTTCACTTTGTATTGTTCAGGGCTTTCTATAAGAAAAGCTGGTTAAAGGGACAGTGTCATGAGCTGTGCATGTGTGAGATTGCTTTCTCCATATCGGCTTAAAATCCCTTTTGAAAGGGGATATTGAACTATACTGTCTTCTTTTTGAACTAAGAGAAAGTAGATTTCTCAAAACTAAATTATTTTGAGGTCAGTTTGCGTTGAACAAACTCGTGCCGTGTTTCCGCCCTGTCGGATCACATTGTGATCAAGACAACTTCGTAATTCAGGAGTACAATGTGTGCTTATATTGGTTTTGTGGAAATACTTTTTGTCTCCAGTATATCTAGACAGATTTCTGACTTGAACACTGCTACTAACAGCTACACTGTATGTTAATGCAGATTCTACAGTACAGAAGGATTTAATGGTCACAAAGTGAAAACAGCTTACGAAACTTGTCTATTTCACTTTAGTTACTGTCAAATTAAAACATGATCCACCCATCTTTCAAATTCATAGTGCTAACCGTCTCATGCAAATAGATTTTTTTCTCTACTAAATGTTCACAGGTTTCTAAGTTTTATACACCACATCAAAGCTAACTCAGAATGCAGATTCCGGAGTACAAAGCGATTTAAAGGTCAAGATGCGCTTTTTGTTGTTGTTGTTTATAGTGGTCAATGTGCTTAGCTACACCTAGCTAGTTCACAGGCATGCCACTCTAAATGAAAGAAACAAGTATATCAACTAAACATGATAGGCTTAAAAGTCCCAACTGGTGGGAGGCAGACCAGTTGGCTATTTACAAGCATGACCGAGGAGTTTAACTACTGTAGGGTCTACCGAGAAACAACTCCAGCCAAGTGGTCAGAGTGGGACTTGAACCCGCGACCTCCGGATTTCAAGTCCGGTGCCCTAACCACTCAGCCATGCTGCCTCCATGAATAGCCTAATAGCCTAAAAGTCATGCAATCAAGTTACTGTTGAATTGCAGCACAAGCCACGTATCTTTCAACTTCACAATGCTAACTGTGCCATGTTTACAAAATAATATATTTTTTTCTCTACCAAATCTCCACTGGTTTCTAAGTTTTATATGTCATATGAAAGCTAACTGAAGGCAGATGCTGGAGTGTGTATCAATTTAAATGTCAAGATGCATTTAATAGCCAAAAAAATCATGCCGTATTCCACTATTAATAATAACTTAGGGTTTAGCCATCTCAAACCACACGTTGCTTTTCAGTTATTTTCTCTAGCATATCTCCACGGAATTTTATGTTCAATGCATCTGTTAAAAAAAAAGTTAAGTGAATACAGATTCCTAACTCAAAGACAATTGCGATAAGGAGGTCAAGATATGCTGAATACCTCAACTGGCCAAGACTCGGCATTTACTGGGTGGAAGCTTCGTATATTATGATAGCTAATTTCTCCCCATGCTTTAATAGCATGAGCTATCCATTGTAGTCAAATTTCCCTTGTTTACACTCCACAACTGGCTCCACTAGTTGATGCCATTTGTTAAATTCAAACTTGAAAAATTCAACCTGAACTTTTCAAGTTTTGATCAAAACGTCACACATATGCAGTTCATGACTTTGTCCCTTTAAATGATCAGTAAGACCAGCTATTTTGATTTTACTACATGTACCTGATTTACATATACAAGCATGTGATGTTCAAAGTTACAATAATCAAGTAAAACTTCTTGGAAGACATTTATTTATAATTCATGATGAAACTTTTGTGCTACATTGGCAGGCAAATGAATTAACTCCATTTAGCTAAGTATTAGATTGATGTTGATAAAGTAATTGATAAGTCAAATTGGTAAACGTGATATTCCAAGACTGGGCTTAAGGTAAAATAGGCAACTTTTTGAACCTATTTGTTAAGTAAAGTTTGAGGGCCTGTTTACAAGGAGGGAGGGTTATATATTTCCATGCCCCTTCCATAGAGAGATTTTTGGTTTCACCTCCTCTCTCCCAAATCCCTCTTGAAATTTAATTTTTGGTTCATTCTTTTGACCCCTCCCCCTTGGAATTTCTACTAACCCTCCTTGGGATTCATATATGTATTTTCTGGAACCACATGATGTGTGCTTGTGCATTCTTGTTGTCACAGTCTGCCACTGATTTCATTTCAAGAAATGTTGTTATTAGTAAAGGCTACTTTTTCTTAGAGGGCTTACAGTGTACAACAGTGATACACTTATCTTTTATCTAAGTATGTACATTTGCTTATGTTTAGGGCATGATTGGAGTTCCTGGATTTCCTGGCGTACATGGCTTACCAGTAAGTATGTTGTGTGTATGCAGTAACACTTGAATTTATGAATTGGTTATTAAAGTGCCTTTAACCTGTGAAGCGCATCTTTGTTACATTTGTTTTCTAATTTTTTACTAAACTCAAAGAAATTTCTCTGCCTGACAGAATTGTTCTTGCAGAGGCAAAGTTTTACGCATTGCGTACTTTTAGTTGGAATCCGTTTGCTTGATTACAGTGAGGACACTCGAACCATGAACAACTACACTTTTTTGGTACATTTTTGTATTATTATGCAATGAGAGCTCCTCATTTAGACAAAAGAATTAGTGTTTTTTAGGCACTGTCCAATCACAGTGATGGTGGGAAAATATGTAATTTTTTTATGTGGTAGTGTCTTGACTATATTTTCAAACATTAAGTGACCTATGTGTCTGCTAACTATGCTGGTAAGTACAATTTTTATTCTTAGCTTCAAGTTGTCTGTCGAGTTTTAGATGATACTCACTTTCTTATTCTTGTTCGGCGAAGGTGAATGCAAACTCACTGTCAATAGACAGCAAGGGTATGACAATGGTAAATTTCTGCCACAAGTTTATTGGGAAAGAGTGCTTGATCTACATAATCAAGGGTTTTTGCAAAGACAAATTTCACAAAATGTGTGAGTTAGTAACGGGTATGTAAATAAATTTGTTCAATTCTATGAAGAGATCAACTAGCTGGACCACGGAAAACACTGGTTCGAAATAAAATGTGGGCAGATGTTGTTGAATATGTGGAGTCAGAGAAATTATGTCAACCAAGTATGTATACAAATGAGCTTCAATGGCATTTGTTATTAGATAGAATTTCTCCCCTTGGTCATTTACCATCACAGTCTGCAATAAAAAAGTGCATCCGGAAAGACTGCAGAATGACAAAGAAAAAGATTTCCCAAGTACTCAAAGAATCATTTTCCCAAGCAAATACGGAGTACACCCATTATTTTCTTGACCAAATTGGACAATGTGACTATACAAAACATCACATTTTTAAATGAATGTAGTGTTATTGTCACATCAGGAAATCGGGTCTATAGATATTCTTAGATTGGTGAACCTGTGATAGAAATTCAGCGCTATGTCTCAAACGCAAACAATACCTTGAACTTACTTCAGTTCTGGGTGCTTGTCCTTAAGCTTACAAGAGTTAACATCTGTACAAGGGATTTTCTTACAATTTGCTCTGTTGTGGCCAGATGTATGGCAAATAGCAGACACTTTTCTGCACCTCTCATGAACATTTGGTAATTCTTCAAGGGCTTTTTGTTTCCCGTGTAGGTTACTTTTGGTGCTTTCGACTTCCACTTCTAGTAGCTTTAGATTTTCTGACAGTTCTGCAGCTAATTGGTCAAATGGACTTTGAATCCCTTGAGGGCTTTGGTTTGAAGTGGTTGCACTTGCTGCAAAACTTACATCAATTGCTGCCTCAGGTGACCATTGTCAGGGTGCACTGCTTGTACTTGGAGTCATATACAGTAGCTTTGGCTCAGGGTGATTCAGGTTGGAGTGACGGCCACTCTCTGTTTTTATGCTGTTTAGTTCAGCCTCTAACACACGTCTTTCAGCCAGTAAAAGCTTATAATTGGGAGACGGAAAGAATGAGTCCTTATCCTCTGATTTGACATATGCCAGTGATCTTTGGGGGCAAGAAGCCCTGCTTTCAAACTGCACTGACAATCTTTCTAAGTTCACTCCTAGAGATAATGATTTCAACCAGACATTCACTTCACTTCTGTCAGCCATGATAGGGCAATGCTCACTCTCTGACTTGTAAATGCATGAGCCTTAATGAAATAACCTCCTGATTGGAAGATGCCAAAAACGTGGGAAAAAAGCCTAGGTATTCATGATTCAAGTGTCCTCACTATAATCGTTAGTCTTTGCTCTGCATGATTTTAATGAACATCAAAAATATAAAACTTAAACAACTTATATTCATTTGATTATTCCTCACATAAGTTAGATATTGCTATATCATAAATAATTACATGTATATTTTTAACCTTTCTCTTTAGGGTTATCCAGGTATTCATGGGCCAAAAGGTTTTATGGGAAGCTGTGGATGTGATGGAGAAAAGGTAGGCACTTAAAAATATTAACATGTTTACCGGTATTTGAAAATCTCTCTTCATACTCTGAAAAAATCTCACTTTTGTGTGTATGCAAAACCTGTAGGGGTGAAAAGCAGACATACATGTAAAGGTTTATTAGTTACATAGACTAATGCTGTTCTAATTAAATAACTTTCATTACCTGCAGTACTGTAGCTTGCAACCACTCTGCAGCTGCAAGTGTAATATGTGACATACCGGGTAATTTGTATGAAAGTTTTACTTGTGGCCAGAATTATACTTAAGCATAAAGCTAGGGAGATAAAAAATAGGCCATTAGTTGACTTTTGTAGCATTTCATGTCTGCCTATGTATGAGGCAAATGGTGATGATGATCTATGTGAGTGAAAACATTTAGCATGCCTTTTGACAACATATTCCCTCACTTTCCCTTTTGCTAAATAAATACATGTTTATTGTTGTTGTTTCAGTGTAGTTCTGTAAACAAACCTCTTTTCATAATGCCTTCTCAAACTCTTGAATAATTCATTAAGTTTAAACAAAGCTGATCATAACCAGGATGGTGTTTGATGTCTGATCTTACGTTGCATACATTAATTATTATAATTCCTTCTTGGTTTTTGTCTCTATTGGGAAGATCGATATATCAAACAATAAAGACCTTGTTTGACCTTACATTCTCGAACACAATATACAATACCACACCTCGCCACAACATGCCACACCTTACACCATACAGTATAGTACAGTGCAGTGCTGTGCAAAGTACAGTACAGCACAACATGGCACGGCACAGCACAGCACAGTACTTTACTACAGAGGTAAACAGAAACAACAAAAATGGTACCTCTTGAGAGGTGAAAATACTTCACTATGCATCTTATTTTCAACTCTCTTCTCAGTGTTTGCAAATGTGTTCATGTTTGATATAGTACATACACTGTACATGAATACAATTTGTTTTTTTAATCAAGTGTTTTCTTGTTTCAGGGAGAACCTGGCCAAGTAGGAATAAATGGTAGTAGAGGCACAGCAGGAGATCCAGGAGACAAAGGCCAACAAGGCCCTACAGTAATAAACTCCTTAAGATTCTGAGATAGAGTGCTTTTCAATTGAGTGTTAAAGACCAAAATAAAGTAAAAACTCTGGCCAATCACAAAGGTTACCGACAATCCTCTGAACAAGTTAAAACTCAAAGCAAAGACAGTTAGCTGACTCAATATATTTGCAAAGTGCTTGAAAAAATGCGCAAGCGAGTTGTGATTGGTTTTGGTTTCACTTCTGCTTGGATGACAAAGTGGCATGAACTTTTCAGTTGCTTAGCATAGTAATGCAAATAAAGCCAGGACAAATGCAAATTAGACTTTTGACACTCAAGTGAAACAGTTGTAAGTTAAGTTAAACATTCTCCTTACTGTTTATAAATCTCTGTGGGTAAATTTGGTTTAAAGTACGTTTTTGAATATGTTTCCTGAAAATAATCAAATCTAGCATATTACATGTAGCTACAGTGGAATCCTAACTTCTTAAACCCTTTATTTCTCACATGGCCACTAGAACCCAAAAATTTTTTCCCCTTGGATATATCCCACTCGAAGACTGCAAGTGCACTGCAGTACCCCACAGTAGTCTAGCATCTTGTCTGGTCCCTAGTTTCTTCATACCACAGAAACCGCAGTTATATGTTAATAATATTGCTAGGTCCAATAACCCTTTCAACTAGGAATTTAGTCAGGAATTGAAGGCTGGGTGTTCAAATTTTTTTTTTGGCATAAAGCACTGGCCAAACAGACTTGCAAGTAGACGCAAGTTGAAAACTTGAGTCTACTTGTGACTACGTTTGGCCAGGGCATGTATGCTCTTGTGTTGACTTGCTACATGGATAACTTGTGCTCACTTTGGTCAAGATAAAATTTGCATACAACTCGATGCAAGATTTTCAATGTTTGGCCACCCAACCCAAGTCAACGCAAGTTGAGTGATGTCCATTAACCTATTACTAGCCAATGAAATACAGGACATGTCTACACTTACCTTGAAATGGGATTTTTTTGGGAATTGCGTGTACTTGTGAGGAAACTCTCTAGTCTGTTTTGCTACCCAACTCAAGTCTTGACGCAAGTTTAACTTGCGGTTACTTGGAACTACTTGCGAATCTGTTTGGCCAGGGCTTAAGGTTTGTTATTTGAAATTAATTTTCAGCTGTACAAACTTGCCATGGCGCATGGTTAATTTACTGTTATCAATTTGAGTTGATAAAATAGCTAAGTGTTTCCACTTTTTAACTTGAATTGTCCCAATTGCATACTTGTGGATCAGATCCATTTTTGTTATTTGACGATGACGGGAATAAATAAAAACTGTTGTAACAATGGAATCTCTTCATGTGTAACTGTTATCTTTCTAGGGTGACCCATATGACGGTCCAGTAAATGCAACCAAGGGGAAACAGGTAACTACAAACATTACATAATTTACAGTAGTACTGTGTCTCAAACCCATTATTCATCAAGTGAGAACAAAAAAAAATTATTTTCTCAATGGCACCAAGACTTGCATCTCATATACAGAGCCCATTGTAATGGTCGTTAAACCCTCTGTGATGTCATAGCTTTTGCAGTTTGCTTATTTTTCCTTATGCCTACATGACTACTGCGTGAAAGTGCCAGAGGTGTGAGAAGAATTTTGTGGTGTGTGGGTGATCTTAGTAACTATGCTTAAAGCCAATTTTGACTCAGCTCAGCAGGAAGTTTGTCAAGGCATTGCATAATGGAGAAAACCTTACCTTGTTTTCAATTACATGTACCCCCAAAGCACTTTTAACAAAGGAAAATAAGATCTATTGTTCTCAGTGGTTGTCCAGCATCTTTGGAAGTTGTTTTGGGAACCAAAGGTGTAAGATTGATGAGAGTTAAGCTACTTGCATTAGGCTAATTATGGTAGCTTCTCAGTGACTGCAGGATGACTACTGAAAGTTCCACCCTTTGATTGAAAGGTCCACATGCTGCTGTTGTAGTAATGTGTTTCATCTGGTGAGGAGCATCAGCCTCTTCCATAATAATTTTGCCATCAATGAATTGAGTCCTGTTTGTTGAGGTGCCCTTGTTTCCCACAACATTCAGAATATTTAACCGAAGGAAAATGAAGAAGATTGCTGTCAATAAATACACTTATTTTGCGAGTTGCATAGATTTTTTCCAAGCCCCGAAGGGACAAGGGAAAATACAAGTAATGAGCAAAATGTCTTGGTGTATTATGTTAAACTACCAAATAAGAGGTTTTATTTTTCCACTAGTATGTCTTTTTTTTTTTTTTTTTGTATATTTTAAAGTAAATTTCTCGTGAGTTTTTGAAATATATCCTGCACCATCATGCTGGGGTTGGAATGTTAGTCTAATCACAGATTACCCTTCACCCATGGGAATAGGCAAGTCACTTCATGTAGTTGACAGCCTTATAATCTCCATTAGCTAGTATGGTCCACTCTGGCTCAACAGCTGCTCCTAATCTTTTACACAAATACTTTTATTACCATTCTTTATTCAGGGTGATCCTGGACCAAAGGGACAACAGGGACCACAGGTTTGTCAGCTTTGCCTCTGTCTGTTCAACCTTGCAAAGTAAAGTAATATACATGTATATTTCACTTTTTTGTAAAAATGTACTGGTACTTGTACTTTTTCACTTCTGAAACTTGGCAACTTGTAAAGCTTGCGTAACATGAAGTGCAGAGAACTCCTTGCATAATATTTTTATTATATTATTATTTTTGTTCTATTGCCTTCCCTCTTTTTCTCAACTGTCTTCAAGTTGATGGTTTCAGTTAAGTCATGAAAGAGACAGACTGACATGTGCAGTGGGGCTTTCAAATGCCTTTTTTGGTCAGCTAGTGTAATTTAGTGTTCTGATAATTGTTTCCTTTGCAGGGTCCTCCTGGAGAAAAAGGCGCCACTGGAAATGTTGTAAGTAATCGTTTGCTTACAAATATGGAAGAGTTACACTGTGTGCTTGCAAACAGTCTAAAAAGCAACAAAATTCAGTAATACAAGTAAAGAGGCCAGGGAAGATGTCTTAAAATTATCATTGTCACCAGACAAAGGAATATAGTAGACAGTTGAAAGTAATTTCAAAATTTACTATAGAGGAAGTAGACCCCACAAAAATGGAAGAATCTGAGGAACAGAAACTGAGACATGCATCACAATTCTGTTAAAGTTTGAAGACACAAGAGGGATGGGATGTATATCAACCACAAAAAAAATGTAAATGAATGCAAGTTTATTATCTTCTACTTAACCACTCTATTATATCTTGATTGGCTGTATTTTCTCTGGTATAGTATGCCATGTCATAGAAAATACAGGCAATCAAGATACAGAAAAGCTGTTGTATACTCAACATTATTATATGGCTGTGTCTCACAAGGACTGGGAACTACCAAATTCAAGAATTTGATCGGCTGAAATCGATATTGAAAGCGGCATCTAGACCAGTAATGCTTTGTGGTGAAAAAGTTGCAAACTTCAATGCAAAAATGTTGACTATTTTCTTCTAAAAATATTTATTATTTTATGGCAATGCCAAAAAGTCTGATAAGAAAAGAAAAGAAAAGTAAAGAGGATGAGCAGACTTCCGCAGAATTAAGTTCAGCTCATCGCCGTTCGCAAGCAAAATGTCGGTTAGTACAAACCAGTTACACTAAATGAATTAAATTTCTCTTGCTTGCCATATAATAAACATCTTATTAACCGAGCTTAGTCGGTCTGTATTGGAGAATCTTGACCTCGGTCGTGTGTACAGACCTCACTGCATTCGGTCTGTACTCATGACCTCGGTCAAGATTCTCTCATACAGACCTCCTGCTCGGTTAATAAGAGCTAAGTATTATGCCCAACATTCCCATTACATTGTACATTGCACTGATTGTGTTAGCCACTGTATTTTCTGTGGCGTGGTATACACATTCACCTAAAGGCTTGTGTGTGAACCAAGAATATACGAGACAGAGACTTGTGTGATATTCCACGGTATACCACTCAATTAAGCATTGCAGAACTAATATCCATTCTACAGTACTGCTCTTGCATATGCACATCCCTATATACATTCATCCTTACATCATTATACTACACTCTTTGCAGAATGTGACAATGCACATCCCTATACACATACATCCTTACATCATTATACTGCACTCTTTGCAGGATGTGACAATGCACATCCCTATACACATCCATCCTTACATCATTATACTGCACTCTTTGCAGGATGTGACAATGCACATCCCTATACACATATATCCTTACATCATTATACTACACTCTTTGCAGAATGTGATAATGATCATATGTGGCATGTTGAATGTTGAATATTGTTTTACTTTTGTAGGGAAATCCAGGTCCAATGGGTGACAGGGTAAGAATAACCAACCATTCAGGAATTTGCTAGTGTGATCATGCAGTAATTTCAACTGATGAACATTTCATTTGACTAAAAAAGTTGTGAGGTGCCTCAGAGCTCGATATGCGACCGGATTGTTTTCACTGGTGACTAACTTTTCACATTTGGTTGCCAGGCTGGCCCCTAAGGTCTCTTAAGTCTTATTTTTTTAATTTTCATGCTCATTGAATGAGTGGAATGAATGCCGAATACTGAACTATACTCCTTTATGTCACTCGTGTGCAAAATGTGTGATTTGCGCCGTTTTAGCGCCTTTATCGTGGAAATATATGGCAACTAAAATACTTTGTGCTGGCGACCAAATCTGAAGACTTAGGGGCCAGCTGGACCCAGCGTTTTTTCTTGAAAGTCAAGCCCTGTGACTACTACATGTGCAGTGGTTTTTCCATGGGAAAACCTTGCTACTGCAAAAGACAAGTCTTGCCAGTTGGCTTACAAATCCTTTGAAACTTTTGAACCTCTAATCTGGAAGCCGTCCTCTTGTCTTCTACCAAGTGATAGAAGTAAAAGCATTTAGAACACACACTTACATATAGGGTGTTTTCTGATGAATTTTACTCTGTTTTTTACCTGTAGGGCATGAAAGGTGACCAAGGGCCCAGAGGAGATGCGGTAAGAAATGCCATTTTAAAGAAATAGAATTTATTTTCCATTGAGCAAAGTTTAGGAGCTAAATGAAAATGAGAAATGCTGGGGGAATGGATTGATTTCTCCCAAACTGTAACGCAAGTGTTTAATTTACTTCAATCAATTTCTTTTGTGAAATTTAATCTAAAGAAGTAGTTAATTGTGCCAATTTAGATATAAAAATCAGGGTACAAAGGCAACAAATTTTCAGGCAAGGCCTATTATATTAACTTTGATGCACTCTCCTAAAAATCATTCTCACTAGCCCCAAATGTTTGTCTGTTTGCTGTACTTCTGTAACTTGAAATTTCTCAAATTTTTCCCAAGAAAATTCCTTACCCTTGGGGAGGTAACCAACAGGTGCCCGATTTATATATGAAGCTTGAATCAGCATACAAGTTTTTGTAGAGTGCTACACCTTTACCTTTTTATCACTAATCATTTTGTACTTCTTCTTTTGCGTGTAAAAATAAAACAGTAGCACATTACCATGGTTACCAACAGTTTTTGTGTGGCTTACACGAAGTGTTTAGCCACACTATGACATGGTCTCATTTATTTTTGGGTTGTACTTGTTTTAGTTCAACCCTACGCCAGAACTTGTTCGTTAACGACCATTTCTACATGACTTCTACATAACTCTATGGCTCTACGATCACACATATCTTGATAATGAACTCTACAGCTCTATGCCTCTATGATTAAACATTTCTAGGTAGTGAACTCTACAGATCTATGATCACGTTTCTGGATAATGAATTATACAGCTCTATGCCTCTAACATCATACATTTCTGTATAATGAACTCTATGGCTCTACAATCACACATTGTTAGATATAATTATAGTGAAGTCTGTGGTTCTAAGGTTCAACAATGACACATTTCTAGATAATAAACTCTACGGCTCTACTGCTCAGTGGCTCTACAGCTCGTAACTGATGTGTTTTACTCAAGGCCTTTGTACCCAAATAGGTTTAAAACTCTTGAACAATACACCATGCACGATTCAATTCACAACCAAGTAAAAAGTTTGCAGAGTTTTTCATTTAAGTGAGTTAAAGTAATACAGAGGCTCAAAAGAGGGTTGCTCAGCTGCCATGCCAAGGATATATCAGCCCAATACTTAGGGTTCTTCCAACAATTTTGTTTATAGGGTTCACCAGCAACAGGAGATACAGCATTACTACAGGGACCAAAAGGAGATGTTGTAGGTATCCCAGGTTGTTACCATATCAGGGTGCCCATACGTACTGTATAAGGTTTCAGAGTTTCATTGGCTTTTTGTGGTAGCCAGATGTGGCAAAGTTATAATTTCACAGCCTGTGCATATTTTGACAAAACAAAAGCACACTTTACCACTGTGTTAAAAAGTGCTAAAGGGAATACATTGTTATAACAGCTCCCCAGTACTTGATTAATTTCTCAGTGGCAAACCATTTTAGCTCATTCTGAATGAATGCAAGCTTAAAACACACAGCTTTAATCGATGGCAAAGAAATTTCTGTGATCTGGTGAGTATAGGTATTTCAATAAATAAATATCTTATTGTAACTGACCAGTCTCCTGAAATGCAGGCTTTTTGCAGCCAATGTAGACAAACACTGAAACAAAATGATCACAACATAAGATCATTAGACAAATAAGGATCCTAAATGATAAGAGGCACATTATTTAGCCACATGTATTTTATAAACCTGACCCAGTGTACCAGATAAGCTTTCACGGCAAGCTTTTTCAATAAGGGATTGTAATAGGTTAGTAGGTAAGGGTCCCACACAATTAATGCTCAAAGGATTTCTACTGATTTGTTGTGTCAGGTAGGTGATGTTTTTTTAATGTATGCTTTTTGACTTGGAACCCCTCTCTTATCTGGAAATTTGGTTGGACTTAAAGCTACAGAGAACAGCACTACAAACTAAAATCACTGATTAGTGTTGCTGATGAAAAGTTTTTTTTTGCCTTTTTTAGGGTGACCAGGGAGAGCCAGGTGACCCTGGAGAACTGGAATTAACAGGATCAAATGCAACTCTGGTTAGATGAAATTGCATCTTAGTTATATGGCGAAACAAACCTCTATTAAGGAGGCTGCCAAAGGTTCCATCACTTTTCTAGCAACTAAAATGAAAGCAAAATTTTCCTACTATGACTGAATCAAGTTCAATGAACCTGTACCTAAACCAGGAACACAAGAATAGCAGTATATCGTTAACCACCTACTGTTAATTTCTTCATCTGAAAAACTACTCGTTATCCATAGAAAATTATGCTGAAATCAAATGTGTCTCTACTGTGCTCTGCTGTACTGTGCTGTGCTGTGCTGTACTGTGCTGTGCTGTGCTGTGCTGTGCTGTGCTGTGCTGTGCTGTGCTGTGCTGTGCTGTGCTGTGCTGTGCTGTGCTGT